ATTTTAATGTAGATCACTGGCTTACATAGACAGAAAGTTGGATACCCTTACTTTGTCTGTGTCTCACATATTATAACCATTGTACCCTGAAATAACTTGAAATGGTGGAATTACCATTTTAAAATGTAAAGACAATGTGAACATTTCTGGGTTTAGCTTAACCTCCAGTGTTTCCAGATCCCAACACCACTTCTATCAAACAACAGCCCTCCTGTATTTACTGGCAGCTCGTCCCTAGTGTGCAAATGCTAATTGGTAGCAACTGTAGCTGGACACTGGCTGCAAATGACAACTCCTTTATGGGTTTATGAGTTTTCTTTTTCTCTGTCTAGCTTCTAATGGCTTCTAATCTGTGTCAAAGTAAATGGAATCTTAGTATAACACCTCCAGCATGACTTTGTTAAGTGAAAAGTAGCTACACGTTTAGCTATCTACATTACTGGCCATTAGATGCTAGCACTAACAGGCTAGCTAGGGGAGCTAGACGCTATTGGACCAGTTTCCTCAGGCTAAGCTAATTTAACTGTCATGTCAATGCTATTTCCTTCGGCTGCTGGTTTAAAGAAATGCTTTGGACCACAACAACTATATTTTTATTGAACCCTATCTGGACTTCATGACTTCTATGTGCTAATTATATCGATAAAAACGCGTATTTAAATGGACAATAACAAACACGACTTACCGGTTAGCTTTTAGCTCAGCAGGTGGCAGCCGTTGACGCTAAATTAATGCTGTAATCTGATTGGCTGATTGCAACTCATTCAGTAACAAAGGCGAAATATTACTTCAGAAATGTAGGAAAAGAACGTAATATGTGGAAGCATAATTCATCTGAGACATGTCACTGTGCCAGGTATTGGCCAGAAAAAATACAATAACATAAAAATAAAATAAGAAAAGTACATATGAAGTATATAAGGAGTTTAGGCAGTGCCTAAATTAATTGCATAAATGGTGATAGAAATAGTAAAAGTAAGCAAGCAAAAAATCAAGTTAGGGTAGAAAAGTAAAAATTAAAGTAGAGAAGTCCTGGCAATGATATTGAAGTTATAAAGTAATATTGCTCATGACAGCAAAATATTACACAAGACATAAACTTCATTTCACAAACAGAAGTGCCCAATAGTATGTTATTACACTTGGTTGTAATACAAATAAATATATATTTAATATTATATGGAGTTCATGACTGAATTCAGAATTTAATTTGGATGTTGCTACTTTTACACGAGTAAAGGATTTGAGTGCTTTCCCCACTAGTGTATGCAACACTTTTAAAAGAATCCAGAGTTTGACTTCACATCCAGCATCACTTTCTCTGTTTTCCAAGTGATCTCTACAAGCTTGACTGAACTGTAACCCCTGTGAGTGGCAGTTACTTCCCCTGAAATCAAATAATGCCCAGATTTCTTGCTCAGCCTGCGAGTGGAGGGTCTATATGTATAATGTGAGACACCTACTTAAATATGGCACCCCCTCCTCCCCCACCACCTCCTCCTCCCACTTTTCTCTCTCTTGCTTTTATCCATTTCTCCACGTGGTACAGGAGTAAAGGCGGGGGGTGAAAGAGGGGCATTGTGCTGTGCAGCAGTGGATCCGGGGGTTCATAGTGAGAGAGGGGAGATGCTCACTCAACTGTGTCCAGCACGCCATTGTCAAAGATTCCCATCTATTCTCTGCCTTTTAAATAGAGCTCCAGTGTAAGATGCTTTTTTTTCGGGAGGGGGAGGTGGAGGGGGGGTGGATGGGGTATTATGCGCCTGGTGATAACACACGAATTACATGCATGCATGTGGAATGGATGTGTGGCCCCCACTTGCACAGCACTGCAGTGTTGTTGATAATTGGCCCTATGGAAATCAAAGGTTTAGAAATATCGCTTGTACGCTCCTCAGCACAATAACAGAATCGGGAAGATGGATTTTGACTCTTGCTGAAGGAAACCACCTGCCTGCCAGTTGTTACAGCGATAATTTAATTATTTATCCACCGTGCTGAGGATTAGAAAGCTGCGCACAAGAGAGGCGCACATGCAGAATATCACCTGACAGATAAATCACCTGTTAGATTTCTTTAACTCCATTTTCATTTGCATCATGTTATAATCTCCCTGCAATGATTAAAACATTTATCTTTAACAAAACGTTAAACCTTACGCCCATTTTAATTTGTTTTTAGGGCATCCAACAGCTTTGACACCATTGTCATGTTTTATTGAAAGTTTATAGCTGCTGCGTGAGTGCCTAAAGAAAAAAAATAAAGCTGGGGAGAAAGAGAAAGAGAGAACCAGGGAGGCTGTGTGTTACACGCCATTGAAATGCAAATATCATAGAACAAGGAGTGGTTCTGTGTGTGTGTGTGCTGTGTAGCCTATGTGTGTGTGTGTTCCCTGTATGTGCATGCAGCAGGGCAGCAGTGGGAGAGGAGGGGCGCAAATTGGACAAGTTTTTTTTGGGGAGAAGAGACTTTAGAAAACAGCCACACGCACGGCAGCTTCATATGACACGGTGCAGCCCGGCGGATTTCCTATTTCTTTTGAAACTTTCTTCCATGAAAGCCTGCTTTTTTAAAAAACACACCTTTTAATTTTTTTTTGTAAGTCAAGCACTTGCGGGAATTGCACGACTTTTGGAGTTTGGATGCTTTCAGGAGCTCGCCCAAGTGCGCAAAAACGTGCCGAGTGCCATTCAACCGACTGATGCCCCCCTCTCTGTCTGACTCGCCGTGAATCATGTCACGCCGGAAGCAGAAGAGACCCCAGCATCTCGTTAACGCGGATCCGGGGGGCCCAAGGCTCCTATCTCACGGTAAGAAAACATCTTTACGAGTGTGCATGCGCTTTTTTTTGTTGAATTTCTTTAGAAAGCGGCTGCGTACGCTTTTACGCACGGCTGCGTTTCTGCGTGTGGAATTCACTTTAAGAGTTTGAAAATCATTAATGCACAAGTTTGGATTTAAACTTATTACCTGTGTTGCTGTAAGTGGTTTCTTTCTTTCTTTTTTTGCATGCACGGCTACATTCCAACAAACGCACCTGATTTAACATGACTAAAAACTGTCAGCTCTAACTTTGTCAAGTGAAGAAAAAACCCCTCCTGCTTAGTCATTTAGCGCAAAGGGCCCCACTAAACGGAGGCCTTAGGCACTTTGGTCGGGGCCAATAAACTTGTCCCTGTGAAGTGAATAGAGCAGGATTAACTAACATACATCTGTGGCCATTTTCATGTGCTGCTCGTCCTCTCGGAAACGAACAGGCTGCTCAGCGCTGACTGCTGGAGGTCTTTGATTGGTATAGAGCACTCTCTTATTTGCTCACAATAAGGTGCATGGCTGGGGGGGAAGGGAAGGCAGTGTTTTTGGTAAAGATTAATCTTCCACCCTTCTATTCTCTTCTTCTTTTGCTCTTCATCCATGCTTTTCTTCCTTATGTGCCCCTCTTCCCCCATTTTCCACCTTCTCAATACTTCCCTCCCCTTTTCTTTCTCCCTCTTTCTCACCCCTATTGACTGTATACTCCTACACAGTTGGGGGGTTCGGATGGATGAGAAAAAAAAGTTTCAGAGGGGATAGGGAGATTGTGTTTGTGCTGTGTTGAAAGGGGATATATAGCTTCAAAGTGCATGCACCAGCCCCTGCAGGTAAAGTGGAAGTTTAGATTGGAGTTATTTATGTGTTTCTTGCAGGTTTCGGTTTGTTTATAAGTCACAGGGAAGGAATTTCACTAAGGTACAGTCTTTCATTCCATCACTATATCTCTCCAGGAGGGAATAGTTAGTCTCTCCATTGTTGTTACCCTCCCCCCTTCTTTTTCTTTTTACTCTTTCTCACTCGGTGCTCAAGATTCTGAAAGAATTTGACCCCTGAGCGGCAGAGGTCAGATTAGTTGACCAATCAGAGTGTCTGGACAGTGCCCAGAACCCTTAGCGTGGCCTGACCCTTGACCTCCACTGTGACGTAAGGGGGAAGGGTGAATAGGGAGATGAAAGACGTAACTGCTGTAGGGAGGGGGTGGGTTAAGAGGGGTTATGGGTTGTCTTGGTGATGCCCATTGTCCTCTAAAATGTGTTGCCATAGCAGCAAGGTGGTCTGTAAGCTTTTTTGTGTGTGCAAGATGTTTGAGGAGTTTTGCTCCAGAGAGCACAGATTGAGACAAGACATTACAAAGACTCATAGACTGCAGAGTTTTCTTCCACTTGTTTATTTGCTTGTTCAAGGCCATTTCCTAGCAGGCATTTCTTTTGAAGTTGTAACAGTATATTTTACTACGCACACAAATTTGCAAATTTCTAAACAATAACTGGAAGCAATGGAACAAACAATCTGTAACTGAAGCAGAAAGTTTTAATGAATTTACATAACTGGATATTTGGTTTGTCATTGGAGATCGGATATTGCGTAACAGTGCAAAGAAACCCACAGGTTTTCAGGTTTTATAAAGCTTTCTTTCTTCTCTGTCAATTCACAGATGACCACCTGGGCATAAAGTCACCATCCACATCTCTGGGCTCAGAAGTGACCTCATCAGGGTCTTCCTCCTCATCCCCCACCTCACTCCAGGACTGCCAGACGCCTCTGGCCCCTCGCCCATCCCCCGGAGGGCTCCACGCGCCTTCCTTACCCAGCGAGAGCTCGCCTCCTCCCCACTGGCCCAGCCACATCGCCCCCTTCACCACATCCCTCCCAAACACCCACTCCTCCCTTTCCCCAGACTTTCCTCACCCATCGCTGTCTTCCCAGACTCACTCGCCTCCTCCCCTGGGTCAAACCTCTGGTTCCCACCAAGGAGACTCTCATTCCACCATGACCTCCCCGCCAATGGGAAGTTCAGCCACCACCACTACCTCCTCCTCCTCTTCCTCTTCCTCCTCTTCCCAGTGCATGCCGCCGCACCGCGACAGCTCCAGTCCGGGTCAGCAGCAGGCCTCCAGTTCACCAGGAGAGCAGGGACAGATCCAGGTGCCTCCAACCCTGGCAGTGCTTTTGGAGGAACTGAGAGTTTTACAGCAGCGGCAAATCCACCAGATGCAGATAACGGAGGAAATCTGTAGGCATGTTCTAAGGCTTGGAGGGGCTGTGTTTGGCCAAGATAATAGTGCACAGGCCAGCGGTGCAGACAGCAACCAGAAATCTGCAGGAGCATCATCTTCATCACCAACACATCCTTCTACTGCCACTCCAGTAACCACAGCCTCATCACTTTTGAGCAGCCTTCCATCTTCCCTCTTCCCCCAACCAGCCGTCTCCAAATCAGGCACTTCACATGTTAATGGTAACAGAGCTTCATCCTCCTCTACCTCCTCCTTGTCATCCTCTTCTTCCTCATCTATTTCATCCACCATCAGCTCCTCTGTTGCCTCCCTGCACCCACTGTCCTTGTCACTGGGCCTGCCGCCACGCTACCTCCATGAGAAATCCTCTAACACCTCTTCATTTGGTCACAGCAATGGCATCAGTTTCCCGACTCCTCCCCTTCCCACTACCAGCCATTCCCAGGACCTCCAGTCCAGCTCCTCTCTTACTTCCACCTCCTCATCAGGACGCCCTCAGCATGTCTGCCGTTTTTGTGGGAAAGTGCTGAGCAGTGATTCATCCCTCCAAATACACCTGAGGTCACACACAGGTGAAAGGCCCTACCAGTGTCCAGTCTGCCTGAGCCGTTTCACAACCAGAGGGAACCTCAAAGCTCATTTCCTGCGACACAGAGAGCAGAACCCAGAGTTGTCTCTCTCCCTGCTGCCCCCAGCACTGTCAGAGCAAACACAGAGTGGATCAACTTCGGGGGGCATCCAGAGAAGGCGAAAGCGACGGGCTGATGATGACGAGCCATTTAACGGAGTGAAAGGAAGCGTTCGCGGGATGACAGAGAGCATGGCTTTAGGATTCCTGTCTGGTGCTTCCGCTCGGCCTTCGCCTTCCTCTCTACCTCTGCCCCCCTCAGTGGACATGGCTCTGCTCTCCACAGCCCATTCACTGCTACAGTTGAACAGAGCCTCAGCTGCAGCTGCTGCCAGCTCTAGCACTGTGCTGCCTTCTTCCTCCTCATCTTCATCCTCCCCCTCCTCCATAGGCAGTCAGTTTAAAGGAGCAAAGCAGCAGCGGTTTGATGAGAACACTCCTCCTCATTCTTCCCTCCATTCCACCTCCCCTTACTCCCAGCTGGCTCACCTGCCCAAGATTGTTTTTCCTGGAGGTACCTCCCCTCACCACCTCGCACTTCTCCGTCCCCCAGGCCACCCATCCACGTCCCACCTCACCTCTCCTCATCAGCTACCCTTCCCCTTCCCACCTTTCCCCAAACCATCCAGCTCTTCCCCCTCCTCCTCTTCTCCCACCACCTCCACCCAGACTTCAGACACATCCAAGTTGCAGCGACTGGTACAGAAGCTTGAAAAGCAGCCACAAGGAGGTGCTTCTTCCTCCTCGTCTCCCTCCACCTCCTCACAAACCCCTGCTGAAGCCAGTGGCGACACACACGGGCATGACCTGTCCACCACCTCCAGTGCCTATCGCAGGGAAATGTTGGCTGCTCTCGGACTAAGCCCTAGTGCCAATGCTGCAGGACTAGAGACCAGCCAGGGAGTCTCAGGCACTACAACTACCACGACTGTCCCTTCTCTGCCCACCGCACAGGCTGCTAATCAATGTGGAGTGTGTCTGCGTGTCCTCAGCTGCCCCAGAGCTCTTCGTTTGCACCAGGCCACACATCTGGGAGAGCGGCCATTCCCTTGTAAGCTCTGTGGCCGTTCCTTCTCCACAAAGGGCAGCCTTAGAGCCCACCTGGCCACTCATCGTGCAAGACCACCCAACGCCCGTGCCCTGAACTCCTGCCCGCTGTGCCCACGCAAGTTCACTAATGCTTTGGTTCTTCAGCACCACATCCGCTTGCACTTAGGGGGGCAGATACCACCCGATGAAGACATGCCACCTGAAGATGGAGCAGAAACAGAGAGTGCCGTCTGCGATGATGGTGAGAATGACTCCATTAGCTCCCCATCTAAAGGACAGCAGCTCCTTCCTCTGGCCTTAACAACAGGCTCTAAGTCTCCAAATGACGCTCTCAACTCAGGGTCTAATTTTAAGCAATCCACAGATGTCACTGCTGTGAAGACTGAGGAATTTGACGGCTCAACACCCAGTGTTAGTCCACCTCTGACCCGTAATCCCCCCTCAGCGGGAGCAGAGGACCCCCTGAGTCTGGGAGACAACGCCCCAGCTGATGGTAGCCCCACAAACGGCTCCGTGCACTCTGAGGAGGACGCCCACGCTGACCTGGGCAGCACCAGCCCTTTTAAAGCACCTATAGCTAGTTCTCATTCAGCTGTAGAGAATTCAGAGGCCAATGATGCCCCTCTGTCCCTGTGTGTTCCTAAGCCTGCTGTTGAAAACGACATGCTGCACAGAGAGGTTAATGGTGATGAAGCGGGCTCCACAGATGAACCTCCCACTAGTCCCAATTCTAACCCAAAAGCTGCAAAACCTGTACCTGCACTCACCCCTCCTGCCAGCCCCAGAGCTATCCCAGAAACAGAAGAGGCCTGTGGCAGCACACCACATGAGTCACAGGAGAAAGATCCTGCCCACAGCAAAGGGAAGAGTGAAACACCCAGAGAGGAGACGGAGCTGGAGAAGGACACTCCAAATGAGGAGGGTCATAGCGTGTCAGAAAAGCCTTCAGAGGACCCTGAGCCCACTGTCGCTGCACCAGCACCGCACACCCAGCCTCCTCGCCCAGACAAACCCTACAGCTGCTCCCACTGTGGAAAGGCGTATGCCAGCCGAAGCGGACTTAAGGTAAGAGTTAGAGATAGTGGGGATTTATTACTGTTCTTTTGGTACTGTAATGTGATGATATTTAAGTGGTGGTGCATTTGTATGTTCTGTTCACATGTGAGTAAATGGCTATTGTGTTCCACCAACAGGGGCATATGAAAACTCATCCTGGAGCGTTGAACAACACCCCCTCCAAGGCTCAAACCAATGACAATGACTTTGCGGAGGATCGCAATTCACAGTCAGCCAATAAGAACCCTGGACAGCAGGAGGACAAACAGGGATTGGCTAAATCCCCCGAGAAAGGTGACAGCTCAGATCCTGTACCAATCAGTGTTGGTTCTGATGTGGCAGGAGAAGCTGTGGACACCACTGCATAGAAAGTTAGTGTTGTTAAAGGGCAGTTTTAAAGGGTCCTGACAAGGGAATGTATTTTTTTCAAATAGAATGAGATTTTTTTTGTCTAGATTTATTAATTCTAATTCATATTTACCTTTTGTATTAGGCAACTAGATTTAGTTTTTATTGTAGTATCCTTACAAGAAATCTGTGAATGTAGTTTTTTTAGCTATGTATTTTTGTATTTCAAAGACCACAGTGAGGCCTTATCTTCCACACTTCACAGCATTGTCATGATGAGAATTAATTGTTTGTGCGTTTTTTGGGTTTTTTTTGCTGACACCTATTTCAGCACATACTGTATCATGTCAAACAACCAGTATAAGCTGATGATTTAAAAAAAAAAAAGCAAGAGGAAGAGGAGTGTCCAGAATTTTACAAATTAAACTCCATACCAAAACAGGCCAGTTTAGTAACGGCCGATGTGTGTAAATATGAGCTGCGGTTACATTTTATGCCTTTTGATTGTTACTTTTGTTCTTCTTTCCTTTTTTTTAAAAAAATGCGATGCTGCTGAATGCATGTTTCTGAGTTGCACTGCGAGTTGCACTGTGTCCGAAACATCTACTGAAACAAACACATGCTAGCAATGACCGTGATGCTGTTGTTGATGATGATAATAATAATAATGATGTCGATGATTGTGTTAGATTGTCAGTACTTTTGTGAGCAGTCCTGTACTTATAGCAGCTAGCAGCACATGACCTTATTTGTACTGATGATGGCAAACCCTTTTTTTTTTTCCTCCCTCCCTTGTTGTGCATTGTTAAACCACCAACGAGGATGAGCCCCGTCCGCTATAACTCTCCCACCCCCTGCTCTCAAAGCACTTGAGAGTGTTCTGCTCCTACACAAATTGTCTGCACTCACTGCATTCCTGCTTTGCTCGGTTTAGTATTTGTATGCTTTGCTCTCCCTTTGTAAACCCCCCTTTTTTTGTAGCAAACATGTTCCCATGCTTCCCATGTGATGTATAAATAAAACAATGGCAATGTGAAGAGGAGACGTGTTTGTCGCTTGTCTGTGTTTTTTTTTAGAGGTTTGTTGGGGGTTTTTTTTTGTATTAATTGTCTGGCTTCAGTTTAAGCCTCTGTCTCTGTGAATTCATTTATCTGTTTAAGTATTCTGCTTGCATGACTCTTATTCGGTGTGCGCCTGCATGCACGCTGTTGGTCAGTTTTCCCTTGTTTGTTCCAGCTCTCTGTGTGTCTGGATTGAGGAGGAGGGGGGGTCCTTTGTCTGAGGCGCTGGGCTAGCTGTCTCCTAATTCTGCCTTTTTTTGCCCTCCGTGTCTTTTAATATGTTTCAGTTCCCCACTACTGTGTATGTGTGTGTGAAAAGGATAATCAGAGCCTGTATGAGTGTGATTGAGAGTGCAGCTGTAGAGGCTGCCACCTCCCTCCCTCCCCTCCCCTCCCTGTGTCATACTCTCTTTCATACGCACTCTCTTTCATTTTCTCTTTCATTTCTCTCCCTCACTCTTTCTACTCACCCCATCACCCCCTCACCCCTATACTCCTCCTCACCCCTCCAACCCCCCCCCCTTCCCCATGTAATGAGCTGACACACAGGAAGCTCTAATCCTCACACAATGCCACCCCTCTTCCCCCCAGAGTGACTGGGAGCGGGACAGGGGGCAACAGGGACCAACCTGGTCCAGCTGTCCCCAAAATGGCCGCCTTTAATCCCTCCAGTTTTTTAGCCTACAGGGGCTCCCGAAACCATGACAACCGGTAACCAAGGAAAAGAATGGGCCGGGGCAGAGAGTGGGACAAAAGGAGTGAAAGGAGCCATGTGTGAGAAGTTTGTCCACATGCGTTCATGAGTGACAAGGGACGTGTCTCAATCAAAAAACAAAAAAAGAGAAGAGAGCGAGAGACGGAAAAGAAAAGTCATTTTAACAGCTCTCCATTTTAAAACGAAGCTGGGAAAGAGAAGTGACCACAAAGGGCCACAGGTGTGATGGTGGAGTTTCCAGGCTTTGATCACATGTATCACTCATCAACAAGCATGAGTCAATTCTCTACAGACACCAATCATCTCCGGGGAAGAGGACAAAAGTTTTTAACGGTCATTGTTAAAGCACATTTAACCTTCTATTAATCAGCAGCCATTTGGAAGACAATGAAAGTCGCTCACTCTACACCGGCCATTAATTCATTTGATCTGGAGGATTAGAGCTGCCATTCAGGCATGACACGAGGACATCTTTAGATCAGTTACGGATGAAGAACTGGTGTCTTAATTGCTATCAATTATTTATTTACATTTTGAATCAGTGAATTATAAATCATGAAAAGAAGCAGTGCTTTAAATGCACGTTAAATAAGCACTAATGTAAAGTCATTGGAATGCAGTTTTTCAAAGAGTCTAAATAAATAAATTGACATTTGTTTAATTTATGACATTTAGTTTCAGAAAAGACATTAAAACTTTATTTGTAATGAGTCAAAAATCGCGTTGGGCTTCTTGGTGGGATAAACAATCTTAAAGAGATGATGCTGGTATTTATTTATTTATTTTTTTTAACTCTGTACAAGTGTGGCTTAACTTATTTGAAATGTACAAACTAGTATGAGAGAGTGAATCGCTCATTCATATACTTTCTAATTTATCCTATTGTGAAGTTTGCAAGGTCACACAAATATCTCAGCAAACAATAATATACCTCTGAATGATTTTCTATTTCTACTACTTCCTAAAAATATTTTTATTGTTTTTAAAACGTTATCTAGATAAAAGTATGTAGGTGTTATCACAAAACTGCAATTAAAGTATAAAAAGTAAAAGTAAGCAGTGCAGATAAACATCCCCTGTGACTGTCATCCTGATGTATATGTAAGAGCAGGATGGTTTCAATTTGATCTATTTGTGGAGGATTAATGAATGATATAATTATAGGATATTCTTTTGATTATTCCAAAATGAACCAGTTGTTTGGTTTCTAAAACTTTTGAAAACTGTGAAAAATACCATGAACAAAAATCGATATGATTGTCAAAACAGTTTTTTGACAGTTTACTTTGAATTAACTTTGTGTTTCTCTTCATGTCATAATTTTTTATGTGCTTTGTGAACAAAAATCTTTGTTACTGAAGTTACAAATGCGGTCAGATAAATATAGTGGAGAAATACTATTATTATTATCATACTATAGCCCTCTGAAATGTAGTGCAGTGGAAGTAGAAAAGAAAAGACTAAAGTAAAATGCCTCAAATTTGTACTCAAGTAAATGTGATGTGCCATTATTAAGCTATTTCAGCTCCACAAGGGGGAGCCATGGTCCGTAGATGGTTGTCCATTAAAAACAGTAAAAGCGGTTGACAGCACAAACATTCATTATAAAACACTCACATGGTTACCACTTAAAATTGTTGCTTGCTGAAAAAATGAGCATCAGATGACCAACTGATTCTTTAATAGGGTATTTTATTAGAATGCATGTCCATAATATTATTCTATTATTGTAATCGTATAATGGAAAGTCCCTGTGCATGAGAGTGAGGGTTTATAAATGTAGATTACTATCACATCAGTGGTTGATTAGTTTAAACACAGACCCTACAAAGGAGCATCGCATTTGCATAATAATGAGCTTTGCTGTCAATTTCACTGTAACATTTATCAGAGGAACAGCTGTACCAGCCCAGGTCCTCCACTGATGATAAGATCTATTTGATGTGCCCGCTAATCTAATTACAACCCCATAATTTTACAGTGAAACTCACTCAGGAGAGACAATGCGATTCAGGGAAACCTCCCCCCTCCTGCCCTCCCTCTGACTCGTTTCCTTGGTAGTAAAGCATTGGAAACCAGAAGTGCATAAAAGCCACAAGTGCATCAGCTGAGGAGTGCAGAGGTGGAACACGGCGCAAAGTCAAAAACAAGAGGAAACAGCAGCACAGAGACAGAGGAGGACGACGCAGGAGGAGGCTTATTATTGACTGGAACAGAGAGACAGAACAATGAGACACTCAGCTGGAGAGGAGAGGTGAATCAAATTAGAAATTAGGCATTATTTCTATTCAGTAGGAAGACCACAGAAGTATTGGACGCCTAAGAGGACGAGCTGAGAGGCATCTGAAAAAGGTGAGTGACTCTAAAACAGCTGCATGTACTTCACTGTATCCACTCAACGTGGCTTTTTCTAGCCATTAAAGAAGATGAACGATTGATAAAAGACAGTAATTGACTGGTTTACAACGCTGACTCAATTTATGATGCAATTCCACGTGTGTCTGGTTGCCTTTTAGCACTGCACAGCTCAAGTCAAGAGAGTGAAATGAGTTTGTCTTTCGCACACATTTTCTTTTTTTACATGCTGGGAAATGACAAATCAGATAATAGCTCCCCTTAAGTGGGAAGATACGCTAGAAATTACACATCCTGCGACTCGGTGATTCCCCTCCTGATATGATAACATAGGTTAGTCTCACTGATTGTCGCCTTTTTAATCACAAAGAAAGTGTCAGCTGTAATAGGTGAGTGACTCAAGATGGACTGCTTATCAGCAGCTTGTGGACCTTGTACTCTAATTCTGTGAGAGCTTTGAGTGAGTCTCTCAATCTACTGTCCTTTTTCATTGCAGTCATTCCTTCGTGAAGCCATGTGCTGCTGATCTGCTGCTGCTGTTGTCTCAAGGTATCGGAACTTCTCAGCCACTCTCACGTTTTCTTCACAAGCTTCACACTCTGACACTTGTTGCTGATTTTCATTCTAAACCTCTAAAACCTAGACGAAGGTGTAATAGGTGTCCTTGTGCATGTTTATATCAAGTTAACTCACTAGGATTGATGAACCTAGACTGAATTGTCTGTTTAGTGGGATCATTTTTTCTGTTCCCTCTATCTAAATATTTGCTTCTAACTTTCCTACAGCCTGAGTCACATGTTTGATCAATCTATATTTGGCGACCTTCATTAGGAAAAGGCATCTTGGCTAAAACCTGTGATACACTTGGTGAAAAGGTTATCATGTTTAGATGTATGTAGGC